CAAAAGGGAAGAAGGGAGGGAGGGAATAAGAAAAGAAGGAGGTGAAGGAAAGGAGAGAGCCGGGAGGAAGGATGGAGCCGGGTGTATCAGCATTCCACGAGACCAACCGGACCCTTCTCTGCTGATGGGCTGGGTCCCAGCCACCCGGAATGGCTGCTTATTCTCCAGCGCCTTCTCCCCGCTCCACCTGCCTTATGCTGCGCCCTCTGCACATGCTGGTTTTCTCCGTGTTCTGGACATGTTGTGTTTGCTCATCCAAACCCTCTCCCCACCCATCTCCACCCTGCTCTATACCCTTGGTAGGCTGGTCCCCTTGGGGGTCACATTGACAGGTTTGTGCTGTGAATTTCAGTTTGGTTCCCAATGGGAAGCACTGGTGGGAGACTGGAAGGTATAAGAGGTGGTAATGTAGGACTTAGTCTCCGGCCGCCTGTGACCAGGGGCTGCAGGCTGGCTACCCCTCCCCACAGTCACAGCAGCTGCCAGCAAGCCCTCTGCTCACAGCAGCCCTCCTCCACTCCACAGCCACTGCCTCCTCCTGCACCTTCAGGCCAAGGAGGCTGACCCTGCCTGCCTTGCGGGTTGTCCTAAACCCTGCCTACTGGTTGTAAATGGCTCTCCTTCAACACAGCGCACCCCTTCCCCACCACCCACCCAACTCTCCTTAATTCTGTTTGCATATGCCACCTGTTTCCTGCCAGGACTCTGACTGAGGCAGGCTGCATCTCTGCCTCTCCACACACTGCCCATTCCCCGACGTCCCCTCCAGTGGACTTGCCTTGTTTCTCCTACCCAGAATAAATCTCTGCTTCTTAGATCTCCGGCCCCACCATGGGTCTCCAAAGCCACAAATCCAAGCTTCCTATGTTTAAATATGACTCCCCACTAAACTGGAAGCCCCTAAAGGGTGAGGAATATGCTCCACTCATTGCAATATCCATAGCAGAGAGGCCAGCAGGGTAGGCGTTCCCAATAAATACCCATAAAGAGGATAGAGATAGTCACCATTCGGGTCCCTAGAATGACTTGGAATAAGGTTATCAGCAAGGAGCTGGGCTATACAGCACTCAACCCTAAGACCGTGAAGGCCACCGGCTCCCCCATTGACATAATCTGGCTACGGTCTCCCTGTACTCGCCTCAGGTGACGGGGCGCTCACTCATCTGCAGAGAAGCGCTCCCCTGGAAGGACCATTCAGATTGGGGATGACATCATCTGTCACTCAGCTCGAGGCTGCCTCCTGGAATTGTGACACACTGGTCCCAGCCATGGCCTAGAAGCCATGTAGAATAATTCTTCTTCCTTTCCCATAGGATCATCCTTCGGAGACTCAAAGTACATGTGTCACGGCCCTATTGTCATGGCCTTGTGAGCATTTTCTCATCCAGGCCTAATGTCTTCAGATAGTCGTATGATGCCCTGGCCCCCTCACTGCCCCAGTCACCTTCTCTGCACACATTCCCAGTTAGCTGTCCTTATTGTGGCCTCTTAATAAGGAAAACTCACTGCCAATGGAGCTGTAGTGTTTCTGCAGTGGTTCATGGAAGCCCAAGGCCATTATCTGATTCTTTTCCAAACTGACTCACTCAGCACTTCATAATCCCAGGCTCTCGGGGACAGTTGGGAAGAAGAGCGTGAGGACAGAATGTGAGGGGGCAGGTGTCTGGCAGGCAAGGACATCAGGGTGGTGCTGGGAAGGTGTGCCACAGCAGATGACCAGGAGTCAGAAGTCTAGAGCATTTTTAATCCCGGTTTGGTCACTAATGGACTGTGTAAGCTTTGGCCTCATTTTCCCTTTATGTGGGATAAGGAGTTTGGACCCAGTGATTACTCAGATGTTTCTAGGTCTGACACTTGACACCATTTTGATGTCTTCTGCAGCCCTCCACTGGGATTGGGCACTCTCCTGGAATTTCCAAGAACATGGATTAAGCGGTCTGTGGACTATTCAATAAATAAATGAGTCAAAAGTGTTAAAAGAAATGGTACTTCTCTGATGGAGTTTGCCCATCTGCCAAGCTGTATTACTGGGATCTTACTTAACTCAAGAAAGTGCTGTATTACTTGTTAGAATGACGACTTTTCATCAGTGCTACTCCAAGTAGGCAGTGCATGAACTGGTACTTGTTAGTCTGAAGAGTAATGAGCACAGAAATGGATAGGCAGCACTTGGAGAAACTGAGAGAACTATGATGCTGCTCCAGCATTCCTGCGGATTTCGCTTTATGTTAATTGCATTTTCATGGTGTGTTACAAAGGCATTGCGAGGTATAGGAAAAAGAAAACAAAACAAGACTGATTGTTCACTCTAGATTGAGAAGGGGTGCTTTAAATATTGTCTTTATCATCTTTACCCATTGAGAAAGAATAGAGAGGGAAAGAAATTGAGAGAGAGAGGTAGAGAGAGAGAGAGAGAGAGAGAGAGAGAGAGAGAAAGGGAGGGAGGGAGGGAGAGCACCCTGGGTGCGAATTAAGTTCAGCTCATTATTAAAAATTACCTAGATAATGTCAATTGAATTTCACTACTTCTGTCATAGGCACCTGTCTTCCTTCCTTCCTTCTTCCACTTCCTCCTCCTCCATCCCTCCCTCCTCTTTTTTTTAAGTCACAAAGCAAATATTTTTTTGTAACCTTCTACAAGCTTCTCTCTGCACACAGAATTGCTGATATGACCAGAATCCTGTCATCCCCAGCCCATCAGGAGATGACACCTGCCCGGTGGGCCTCACCCGGGGCTCACAACTTTCCCAGCCAGCAAACAAACAGGCCTGGCGTGATTGGTCACAGCACTGGCACATGGCCGCTCACAGACATTCTGGGCATGTGATCCCATGACTTAGAAAGAGGAGGCCGGTGGAGCCTGCCAGCTCTGTCTGCTGATTGTGAGGTATCTGGGACCTGAGGCCCCATGGCCCCTCCGCACCAGCACAGCACACCCGTTGCAAAGGCCAGCTGCCGTCAGTCCTGACCCAGTCACATTCAGCAGTTTTGTCCCAAGGCTTTAGTAAAGCCACCCTGCCAGTCACCCGTCCTTTAACTCTGCTTCATATTGTTCATTGGACATAAAATTACCTCCTTCAGTGGGAGCTTTGGAGTCAACAGATCTGGATTCAGATCCAAGCTCCCCGCTTATTAGCTGAGTGACTTTGGGTAAATTCCTTTATCGTTCTGAACCCTGAATTTCCTTCAGCAAAATAGAGTTAAGCCTACTCATCTTCCTGGCACTTGGTGAATGACAAGTGAACATTTGTTGCATAAATGCAAGAGTGAATGAATGAACAAATGGGTGAATGACCTATAGCTATTCATGGCCCTTCACCCTTCCCTATTCCCATTCTGCCTGGGCACACAGGTAAACTCCTGGGGATCTAGCTCAGTAGAACACACACTGCATTCACCTCAGAAGACTTGCATTTATGATTTAACCAAATTGTGACCTTGGCCAAGTCATTTCACTCTGTAAGGTCCTCTATTTCCCCATTAGTCAAATGCAAACACTAACCCCAGTCTTGCCTCCCTTGCCAAATTCTGTCAAAGCCCAAAGGAGAGCAGAGCTGAAAGTGCATCACGACCTGGAAGGAACTGGCCACACACCAAGGCTTCTCCCCACATGGGCTGCTCATGCCTCTGAGCCAAGGGGAGAGTCCAGGGGCCAGCCTGGTGCCAGGAGGCTGAGCTGACGTGCTCTCGGGCTTGCTGCCAGACATGACATTCTCTTGCCAGCATCGTCATTCCTTTGCACATAGGTATTCTGTCTGTGCACGGGAGGCCTTTGCTCTTTGGAGAGAGACATAAAGGGAAGAGTCAGCAGAACACCTGCAGAGGTCGGCAAGCGAGCTGGAGCTATCAGCACGTCCAGGGGCTTGTATGCTGGACAGGATGGAAAAGTTCAGCGGGAATCTGGGAACTCAGAAGAGTGGATGTTGTCTGTCTCTCTGGCTTGAAACTAGTTCCTCTGGGTCCGATTTTGAATATAAATCATGCATGGGTTCACTTTTGGGTTTGTCTGCAGGAGTTGCTGGTTAGAGTTAGTGCAAGGCAGAGGCTAAGTGAGGCCTAAGACAGAAGATACCCCCTTCCTGCCCTCTTCTCAGCAGTACAGAAACTAGTTCCTCTGCCTCGGTGCCCTTTCTCCCCTGACCCAATCTCTGATGCCCGAATTGTATCTAAGGCTTCCTCAAGACATTCAAGATGCAAGTCGTTTTTTTTCTCTTTGATCTCCTATGCACCCCCCAAACACACACATGCTACCTTTCATTACACAAGTAAAGACAAGTACACTTACTGAGAGTTAATTACTTCAAGCCACGGTGAGAGAGACTGTGGTTCATGTGCTCTCTCTCAATCCTCAGAGTAGCTCAACAAGTAGGCACCACTTGTTTACAGATGAGGAAATAGCTTCTAAGAGGTCACAGAGAGAGGAAGTACTCTCTCTGAGACCTGAACCCCTGCTCTCTGACCCCAGCTGGTCCCAGCCTTACCAGTGATGTCCAACAGAATGCTCTGCTCAGAGGGAAGTGTCCTATATCGCTCTGTCCAGTGTGATAGCCACTAGCCCCAGGAGGCTACTGAGTACGTGAGAGGTGGCTAGTGAGACTCAGGAACTGGATTTTTAATTTCATTTAATCTTAACTAATTTAAATTTAAATAGTCACATGTGGATATAGGGACTCTTGTCTTGGGTAGTGTAGCTGTGACCCACTCTACCACATATGTTGGGTCAGATATTTGTACTCAGCTCATGTCACCTAATTTCACTCAGTTCTTTGAGAAGAAAGGGTTCTGAGCTTTCCTTCTTAGCCCACAGTAGGCACCCAACAAATGCTTTCATAGTGGACTGTCTTTGCACACGCCCCGTGATTACATGAGTGACCTCCTTAGTGAAGCTGCCGTGTGAACTGGAAAGCTCCTGTAACCTGTATGGAGCTCAGGAGCCAGGCCTATAACATGGGGGACAGGCTCAGCTCTCACCTGGGCCTCATCTACCCACTAGGTCTTACCTGTGTGGAGAGTCGGGATCGAAGCACGTCTTGGTGACATCGGTGATCTCGGGGTCACAGCACTCCCCACCGTCGAAGTTGAACCTTTCATAGTTGCAGTCCATGTCGCACACTCCATTCTGCTGCTTCTTCAAGAAGGCGGGGTGGCGCAGGTGACGGCAGTCGCCGCCATCGTGGCCGGTCAGCGTGTGGTTGCACTCAGGGTCGCAGTTCTCGTCCCCGATCTTGCCGATGTCACAGTTGGCCAGGACGAGGCGGTGGCGCAGGGACGAGTTGTTCACCTCCAGCACCTCCAGCTTCCAGGAGATGTTGTAGTGCTTGAAGGCCTCGGCCAGCTGACGGTGCTGGAAGTCGATCTGCTGGCGGCTCACCGTGGGGTTTGCGCGGCTGTCGTCGTGGAGGTTGACCACGCGGTAGCGCACCACCTTGGGCCGGCGGAAGTGCGGGAGCTGGTTGTAGCTGGCAATGACCTCTGGGTTGTCACACAGGGTCTGCCCGCACAGAGGAGGCTCCAAACTGGTGTCCAGCAGGAAGCCGTGGGCACTGCTGAGTTCCACCTGGGGGCTGCTGCCGTCCTTCATGGGGGACCAGGCGCGCTTCACATTGTCCCAGTTCTCCTGGAGGAGGAGCTGAGGTAGAGGGGTGTGGAGGCCACGGGTTTCCATGTCCGACAGCACCTCCTGCTGCGTCCTGGCCACCTTCCACAGACTGAAGCGCTCGATGTAGCCCCGGTAGTTGTGGTTCAGAGCACTGCCTCCCAGCGTGAGCACTTTACACTTCTGTGTCAACGGGCTGAATATGCCGCCCACCTGCTCCGCAGAGGTGGCTACCTGGGCACCGTTCACGTAGAGCTTCATCAGCCGCCCATCGTAGGTGGCAGCGAGGTAAACCCATTGGCCTGGGAGGTAGCTGCGGTGGGCACTGATGGTGGTCACTTGCCGGGCCCGGTCTGTCTTCAAGGAGAAAAAGTAGCGTGGGTCTCTGTTGCCTTGGTCACTGACGGTGTGAATGCCCACGACCCATCCTCGGTCACGCGAGGTATAAGAACATTTGTCATATAGCCCTATGTGGCCCCAAAAAAGAAAGATGAATAAATAAGGGATGAAAGAAGTGGGGGGTAAGTCATTTCTCTCTGATAAAATTTCTATCAGGATGTCCTAGACCAGCAGGTTTCAAACTGCGCTCCCTGGGGTCCTGGTAGTTACTCCTGGAGCCCCTGGGACTGCCCGCTGCTCAAGGTGAGCGCTTGAGGAACTGAGAGGACAGGTAAATTGGATTTATAGTGGGGGTCAGGACGGTGTCTCACCACAACTTGCCCCTAGAAAGTTTCACTTTTATTGGTTTTGAATATGGAGCATACAAGCAATATTTTTCTTTGAAGAATGATTACTTGAGCGACGGAACACAATGATGGCAACCACAATAATAAATAAAATCCGAAACACCTTTGATTTTGTGAAGTTGTTGGGTGGGGGAGAGGGCTTTCTAAGAGGGTATGTTAAGTGTAAGATGATATAGGAGGGGAGAGGACAATCGGAGGGCAATGATAATGAACAGAAGATGCCTGTTGAGAACGTAGCCCTGCTACAGTCCCCATGATTTTGAGGGCACCTCAGCCATCAGCAGTCATCGAAGGACCAGCAGAGGTGAACTGTCGGGAAAGCTGGCCTGGGAGTGAGGTTCAAGGCTGCTCAACTAGTGCTTCCATCTCTAACAGGAGTCCTGGATAGCCTGACACTCATCCCTGGAGAAAGGGCAAATATGCCTAATATCTGAGCTGGAAAGGTGTCTAAAGATCCCCATTTCCCACTCCTTCACTTGAAGGGTGAGAGAGTTGAAACCCAGCATTTGTCAGGTCACACAGGATCACAGACAAGCATATAGAGACCCAATTCACCTTGCTTTCTCTCACACTACTGCTCATATTTAAGAAGGAAAAATGAAAAGCATCCTCTTAACATAAAAAGATGTTGGAGACTCCTTCATTAAGTGATATCTTCCAAGCCTCTATGGCAGGTTAGGCACTGTGCTAAGGTCTGGGTATGTATGCATTTAATCCATGAACACCCTCAAGGTGGTGATAGTAAGTTAGCAGAGGAGGAAAGGAAATTAAAGATGAGATGGATGAGTTTAAACTGGTTGGTAAGTGGATCCTACATCCATCAGGCTATGGAATCCACCATTCCTGTACACTGACTCTACAGTACCTCCCTCTTCTGCCTCAATGCCACCAGAGATCTGGATCACAGCACCTGCCTGGCAGTGTCACAAGGTTTAGTTGGGTGCTTGAGAACGTTCCAAACCAGGCATCTCTAGCCTTACTCTGGGAACCCCAGGAAGTCACTTAGCAGATTACCTCTGGATCTAATTATCTTTATACTCCCCAACCCCCACTCCCTAGCCTTTCTGGAATATACCCAGTGTCCTTGGCACAGACAGGCTGTTGGATGGGGAAGAGGACTTTCTAATTAAGAGTGTATTTTAAGTGTGGGAAGATGTATGAGGCCAGGTGGGAGGAGAAAGAGAGGGATGCGAGAATGAATAAAAGATGCTCATTTAGAAGGACAGTCCCTACTCTCAGCTGGAGAATTGCTGCGGTCACCATAACTTTGAGTGTGAATCTGCCATTAGTACTCATCAAATGAGCATGGAGAGCTTCCAGCAAATCAACAGAGGAGGCTTGCACCGCCTTTACTCCTTTGTGGGCACTGGGGCCTTAGAATTTGTGTGACTCTCTCTGTTAGCAACTGAGGTGGACGGCAAGTTTGGCGGGGCATCTAAGTCTGCCCACACCTCTCCTCCCACTCCCTGTGCAACAGCCTCTCAGGTCACAGCCAGAGCTCCTCACAACGTCAACCTACTCTCAGAGGCAGGCAGCTTTCTCTGGGTTTTGGTTCCCTATCTGGTAAAGGAAATGATTGAATGAGGTTCCCCTCCCCTGCTTGGTCCAAGTTGGCTTAGGCCAACTTGTGTTTCCAGGTCTCCCAGTGGCCAAAACGGAAACCATCGCTTCCAAGGAACTCACACTGATAGGCTTGCGGAAAATAATCATCCTCTCCTCTGAATTCATTTCACTTTTAGGAAACGAAACTTTTGCTTTCTGGTTTTGGAGTCCTCCCAGATTGGGTATTTCTTGAGAACTGTGACCCTGTCTGGGTCATCTGCACCCTGTCCAGCACCTTGCCCCAAGCCTTGTCTATAGCAGGCACTCAGAAGTGTCTCATGAACAAGCACAAGAATGATTCTAAACAGAGAGGGAGAAGAGAAAAGGAAAGGGAATCAAAGGCACTAACTTACGTCTCAGGGGCTAAGCACAAAGAGAATCAGAAGATAGTGTGTGTTCTTGGTAGGCTAGAAAGAGCAGGATCTCTGGGGTAATTTTGATGACAGCAATCACTACCTCTCTGTGGATCTGAATTCTCTTGTCTGTACCTCTCTTTGAATATGTACTTAGAAGACACAGCAGGTGTACCATCCTTGGCTTTCCAAATGGGAGTTCATTTCTAAGATGCTGGAGGGTCTGGGAGCAAGGTCAAGGATGCAAAGTAGGAAATGACTGGAAACAAAATACAGAAGTCCAGAGTGTGAAGCTAACTTGAAGGCACCTTGGTCAATGTATCAAGAGCTGGTAGGATGGAGACTCAAGAAACCTCAACTCCTTCTCAAATTCAATGGCAAACCCAACTTAGAAATCATAAACCCCTTGATATTAAGAGACTGTATGTCAAAAGCTACCTTCCTTACTGACCCCCCCAAAGTCAAAACTCTGACTCTAGATTCAGAATGAGATGCCCTGGAGCTCTCTGTTTCTGTTTGTGAGGGGCATCAGTGCCAGCAAAGGTCCCTGGAGTCGCTGCTCCTGGAACCCCACCCCACCTCTCAGCTCACCTTCTCTTCTTCCCCTAGCTAACCTCCTCCCCAACCAAAAAGAAAATTCTTCTAATGAGAAAATTAATATCTGAAACAGGATCTTTTTTCCTTCTCTCTTCCTCTCTCTTTCTCTGCAGGTTTTTATTTTGCCAGGGGCTCTCAGTCCCTGGTTTTCCTGTTGCTTTTGGAGGGCGACTGGCTGGGTTAGCAAGGTAAAATGTTTACCCATCTGTAGGGTGCCCTCAGTTCAGAACCTTCCCGGGCCTTGGGACCCAGGCTCAAGCCACCTCTGTCTGCAGTTGACGAGAGAAAAGAGAAGCGGTGAGAAAGGCCAGAGTCTGTGACACAGAGCAGAGGACTGAGAGGTGGCTTAGTCCCAGGATGCAGAGAGGAAGAGCAGAGGGATTTTCAGTAGAACGGAGGGGAAACACGTTTAGGGAAATGAGAACCTTGAAGCAGTGGCTTTATAAGTTCAGGAAACATTTACCTGGAGTGTAGTGGGGAAGGAAATCACGGAACTTCCCCAGGGATGCAGGGGGTTGGGGTGTACAGTAGTGAGGGAGATTTCAGTATGAAAACAATTTAATCAACAGTGGTCATGTTTCAAGGGGTGGAAGGGAGTCACTGCTGTCTCACCAGCCCAGAACCAGGGCTCTGGACCCGGAGATTGGGGCTCAGCTTGTGGGATGACCTTGCCTGGGGTAAGTCACAACACCCCTGAGGCTTCCGGGCCTCATTTCCCTTCTACGAAAAAGGAGGGGTTCGGATTAAATGATTTCCCTGCTACAATTTAAGAGCTCCTTTGTTCACTGTTAGAATGATTCCTTGTAAGTAGGAGGTGCTCAGAATTGCGTGTTGATTGGAATCGGATGCCTCATGTCATTCCTCATTCTTGCACGCAGAGGTCCCCTCTCCTCTGTGTGCCTCCATACAGGACATGCAACGGTGTTTTCTGGAGCGCACCCCCCCCCCACTTTTACTGTGTCCCTCCTCACAGTTCTCCAGGAAAAAAGAGACACAGTGAAAGAAGGGTGAGAGTCAGTCTGAAGTCGGCGCCATCTGTGTGGTTGTGGAGGTTGATCCCAGGGGACACATCCCCAGGTGGCAAGATGAAGGCCATAGGCAGTCCTGCACACAATCTACATCTAATTAGCATAAGCTGCCTCAAGGCTATCTGCACTGGGAGCAGACAGTGAACAGTGAGCATGCGCGAGAGCCCATGAAGCGTCCAGGGCATGATGCACAGGCGCAGAGGTCCAGTCCCTGGTCCTCATGGGTAGCACTGGTTACTTGAACCCAGGTCAACTGGCCTTGCTAATGTGCCCTTATCTCCCTGCCACTGCGCTTGCTAGGAGAAGGGCTTCAAATCCCCCCTAGAAGCTTGATGTGTATTTATTTTCATTGTCTCTTTTACCTCTCTTCCCCCGCTGAACCTCACCCCGGAGATGAAGAGCATAGATGAGGAGGCTTGCAAGCCCAAAGGCAGAGGGCTGTACTAGGAGAATCTTCTGGGCTTTGGGATTGCCCTCTAGGGATCACTTTAATGGCACTGCCACAGGGCAGCTCTGTCTGACTGCTTTGTTCACTCCCAGCACAGGTAAGGCTCCCCTGCACATGTTCATCACACAACTTCCTGTCCAAAAACTTATTACTTCTGTAATTTTTCATCCAGTGTCTGTGTTTCCCATACGTGTGTCTGTTTGGTTCATTTCAAAATGCCCGGCATCCAACACAGTGCCTGGGACTTTGCATATATGCTCCAAAGGGTTTGCCATTAAAAGTCAAAAAGGAAGGAAGGGGAGGGGAGAGATTTCTCTCTGGCTGTGCTCTTTCTAAGAGCGCATTACTCTTTGTTTAGAACTTGCTAAGTACTATGTGTCTCCATTCATTCTCACTTAATCTTCACTACCAAACTATCAGCACTGCCCATATTCAGGGGGAAACTGAGGCTCAGGGAGCAGAGGAGGTTTATTTAAGGCAACACAGTCTGGAATCCAGGCCTCTAGAATTCCCAGCCCAGGTTCCTATCACATCACTGCTGTCAGCGCAAAGTGCCAGGCATGGGTTGTTGGAAGGCACGGCCCCCTCCAAAAATATTCCTCTAAATCCTGTAGCACCAACACAAACAAGTGGAAATAAACTGCGAACCAGGAGACTGCTTTCCGTGTCATTCTTCTGCCTGCGCCTAAAAAA